GAAGTGGGGGGTTAGTGTGGACCAGGCCTGGGAGTCAACCCTTTGGAAACTGCAGGCATCCTTCTGAGCATTTGTTTGGTTGGCAGTCCGCAAAATACCATCGGACAATTTTAATTTTTGAGGGCCAATATATGTTAGCACCTAGCAAGGCCTCTGAGTAACATGCTGGCTGGATAACGTGCAGCTTGCTGTACCCATAGCATTGGTGGTCACATGAAACCAAGTTGTTCCCTCCCACAAAGGAGGATACACAGCGATTATGAATCTGAGGGTTACCTTCAAAACTTGCCCTCCTGGGGATGGCTTGGGTGGTACCTTCTCTCAGAACCAGGGGATCTCATGGAAGGGAGACATGGAGGATTGAATCCAGTGGGATGCTGCACCTGCACCTGCACAAAAAGCCAAACAAAGGCCAAAGCAACCTTTTCCCCCCTCATCACCCTTCCGAAGTATGCTCAGGCATGGAGATTTAGTAAAACTCCTTCCGACAGCCCTAGTTCAGGTGGTGTTATCCAGGGGGATGGAGAGGGGAATTCTGTGGATTGTGGTTCCTTCCTCTTTTCTCCCACCTCTTCCCCTCAAGCCCCACATAGCCCCAGAGGAGAGGGTCCCATAGGGTACAAGGTAGAATTTTGTTTACTGGTAGGTCTATCTTGGGTATTCTGGCTATACTGAGTGTGGGGGGAAAGCAGAAGCCAGGGAGTGTGTACAAATTTCCAATGCCTAGCTACCTCTCTGAACTATGATAGGTTATTTTGGTGAGGGAGTCAAACCATAAAATTAGTTGCTATCCTCCTTCCAGATAACAGGTACAGAGCCTACTTTGGGCTGAAGTGCCAGTGGAGTTGCTGGAATAACTAGTGCAGTACAGTGAGGCCGTAACAAGCATCTCCTTCTGGTTATGGATGAAGGTCAAACACAGACTGTTGCTGGGGCGCCAGCTGCCTATTCAGAGGAATTACTAATCACTGCAGAGGTGCTCTCTGTTACAAGACGGGCCCCTACGTAAAGCTCTCAGATACACTGAAAGTGACACAATCAGACTTACCATATCTTGTCAATTATCCTATATGCATGCCTGATTTTCAGTTGGCTGTTCATTGGGCCTCACATTTCACACCTGCAGTTACTTGCATCTACATACTTTACTTTGGACACAAAAAGAGAGCTCAGGTTAGGAAAATCTGGTCCTAAAACTCTGTCCCTTAAGGACTCCAGCAATAGACATATTTTAAACCCACCTTTGCTACAGCATTAAATTAAAAAACCCACACAACTAAAAAACTCCCCATGGGCTGGATTCTGATACCCTCATGCATACCGAGTAGCACCTTACTCCTTGAGCAGTCCCATTGAAATCACAGTATCTTACATGTAAGCAAACTCAGGTATGCACCCTATCTGCTGTCACTGCACACATGCAGGAATTTGGGACACAAAGCAAGCTGTGGGCGTGGTTTGATTTTTTTTTAAGTAAACTCTCCAAAAATTAAAATAAAGATTTAAAATGTACACAGCTGCAATCCTTAAGGTGAGTTCCAAGATATGGGATATCTGTTGAGTCACACTGATTTGAAGCCCTACCACAACCTTGACAGCGTCCCTCGGAATCCATTATGAATACACCTTATTACCCTTACACAATGCTTGTCTCAAAGAACAGCCCTATATGAAGGGAGTTCTATACTCATAAAACTAATAGAGCTTTCTGGACATTTGCCCTTCCTGTTCTGATATTTGTGTTTAGTGCTGCCTGCAGTACACCCGACTGGGTGTTGAGAGGTATGCCAGAATGCCTCTGAGTATGTGAACATTATCAGCTGAGACAGCACCATCAAATGCTGTGCAATAAGTGCCTGCATCTAGCTGTCCTGCTAAAGCTCTGTCTCGCTGTTTCTGGCTGAGTCTCTCTCTCTCTTGTTTGCAGTCATTTACCTTTCAGGCTGATTTGGCATATCCTCCCCCCTCGGATATTTTGGAATGTACGGCTGATCACAGGCAGCTGTAATTGGCATGAATGGCAACGTGCTCTGGAGAAGAGGAAATACAGTATCTGTGACTCATCTATACTCCCGGCAAATTCTCTGCTTCAAGAGAAAAGATCGCCTTTAAAAAACAGGGGGAAATAAAATTAAAGAGACAGAGTCAGAAGACATTTTGAATGAAGTCAACTGGCTTTAGAAAACAGCAAACTTCTCACCCACAAGGAGATAACAGGCTGAAAAACAAGTTATTCCAGATGTATATCCTGTGCACACATGAAATACCGCACAGAAATGTACAGTGCGCTTCAGTTCCTATCTGCGTGCGCCTGCTTCTGATACACATACAATACATAGCACCTTACTTCCCATCGACTTAGGTGGCTACCTCTTGTGGAGGAAGATGCCACTCAAGGTGAGTAAAGGGTATCAGAATCTGGTCCTCTGGGAGAAGTCTTTTTACATTAGACACAACTGTTTCTCTGCACCACGTTTTCCATCTCCTCTTTTGCTAGTGTCCATCATGTTGATTCATTTAAGTCTCACACTGTAGCCTTAAAAGGTTGTGAGATACGTGCACAAGCAACGGGCCAAGTCTCCATTCAGCTTCTATTGTTGCTCTTGACCATGGCTGTCAGTCCCCGATAGCAATGACTCCTATCACACTGCAGGTATGGTTCATACATATCATCCCTTATGCCTTTCAGTCTTCTGTATGATAGTTCAGATGACACACCCCTCCCAGAATTCTATACAGAAGCACATCGGACTCTCAATCTGTCACTATGTTAATTTGTGCAGCATTTAGTATTGTTATTAATAAAGGGCAATTATGGTTAAAATGCATGATTCTGCTCCCTCACTTAGGCTAGTGTAAAACTCAAATAACCCAAAGGAGTTATTCCAGATTTCCCTTTATGTAACAAAAATCAAAATCTGGCCCAGAAGCTGTATGTTAGAAACAACACTTCCTTACTCAGCAGACTGTGTGTACACCAACTTTTCTGACAATAATATATTTTATTCCAATCCTGATAGCTTTGCAGAGCCCAATGGAGAGAGACTGAACTGGATTTTTCTGGCTCATGCACCTTACAATGCTTGTAATATTTATCAGCTTCTTCATAATTAACAGAATTGTTAAGGATTCTGCAACAGGAACTTAGCTACTAGTGGCGTCAGAGCAAGAAAGACTCCAGCTGGACTTTTAGATCCGAGGTGGAGTTTGTGGGGCTGGCAGTTAGAAAAAGGCCATCTTTTTACTTGTAGACAGAGCAAAATTGTTATTGAGCCACTAGCCATGCTAACTCACAATGCCATTTGTAAAGCCAGGTCATGAAGTATAATTGCATTTTTATCATCATTATTGTGTTCAAGACTTTACAGAACATAGGGGAAAATCTGGTCCCTGCTTCCAGAAGCTTACACATTCTCAGAGAGACAATTCAGTTCAAACACATAGCACTTCAATCCTGACTAAATCCACTTTGCACCACTCTAGCAGCATAGAGGGAATTTAAAGCATCCACAGACATCCACAGTTCAGATATATTGTGGTGTGGGGAAGAAGGTGGAGCCAGTGTGTGATGCACTCCAGTCGTCCTGAGCCACCACTAGGGGACATTGCAGTTGGCATAATTTAGAGCAGCCCCACAGATGCTCTTACTTGCATGAGGGCCAGTTTGGCGCTCAGGAAGGAGAGAGAAATGAAGGCGGCTAACCTTTGCCTCCCTCCTCAGCTTTGCTGACCATAAATTTACAGATGATGGTCTAAACTCAAAGCAGATTCTTAATCCGTATTCCTGTGATTCATGTTGCAACAGTGGATGGTCTAATGCAGCTGCAGTTGTGGGTGGGCTGGTAGCGTTTCCATGGAAGATTGGCTCTGCAACATAAGCAGAACAGGTAGTTGCCCAGGGCAGCAAAACATTAGGAACAGCAAAGCGACAGTTTATTGAGTAACTGCAGGTCCAGAAAGCCTGGATGTTTTCCAACAGAGTGGCAGACCTCAGTGCTGGCCACTGTATCTCCATGCATCACTGCTCAGACCAAAGGAACAGTGCTGACTATTAGTGATCACAGCAGAGACAAGAACAATAAATATGGGGAAGGGTCTGATTCATTGTACTTTATAATGTTTAAGGCAGTGCTAGGGTAACAGAAGAATCAACAACAGAGACAGCTAATCTTATTTTTTCAGCTGCTTAAAAATTAGATCACCCTCCTCCTCCAGCCCCACCATACTCCTTTTCTCTGAATAGCTACACATATAAGCCTCGGGTGCTATTTAAATAAAGTTACTTTATTTCAGAGAGGTTTCCAAACCTCAAAGTTCAGACCTGGATTTAGATCCAAACTTCTCCTGAGTTCAGATCCAGTTCAGATCCAGTTCATTCCGCTTATTAGAGGTAGAAGCCAAGCAGGGGATTCTGAGGTAAACTTTCCCAAAGTTCGGGTACTGTATATTTAGAACTGGATTATTTTATTTGGGCCCATCTCCACTTTATTGATAATGCTGTTGGTGGGTCAGTGGGTGGCACTCTTCCTTCTGAGTCACTGGCCCAGCATAGAGCTAGAGGTTATTAGGCTACAGAAAGTGGTATCTTTGAGATGATAGGCAAAAATCAAGGACCAGACAGTTAAGAAGGGTATTTTAAAGTCTAGGCCAGGGGTAGGCAACCAAATGCGGCACGCAAGCTGATTTTCAATGGTACTCACACTGCCCGGATCCTGGCCACCGGTCCGGGGGGCTCTGCATTTTAATTTAATTTTAAATGAAGCTTCTTAAACATTTTAAAAACCTTATTTACTGTACATACAACAACAGTTTAGTTATATATTATAGACTTATAGAAAGAGACCTTCTAAAAATGAAATCTTAAATTAGAGTGAATAAATGAAGACTTGGCACAGCACTTCTGAAAGGTTGCTGACCCCTGGTCTAGGCCAAACTCCAATTTAGCTAATGTAGAAGTCCCCTCCGCAGTTCCAAATGGACAGTATAACCTTGACTTCTCCTAAGCAATTTTGTATTGGCTGGGAGGAGGGAGGGAAGGGGGGTATTAAAAAAAATGCTTGTCAAAGCCTTATCCAGAGTCCATTGAAGTCAGTGAAAAGACTCCAATTGACTTCAAAGGGCATTGGATTAGGGCCAGACTCCTCCTTATATTCACTAGTAAGAGAGGAGAATCGAGCCCTGAGGGTTTACCTATCTGGCCCAAATGCAGTGAGATATGTGTACTGTTGTAGGGACGTTTCCTCTGCACTCCCAGACAGGTCTTTGAAAAAATTAACAAAGCTACTGCCTCCAGAGAATCCACTGTAGAGCCCAATGCATGCTAAGAAATCATTGTAAGACTTTTTTTCAAGTAACCATAAAATCTGCTTACCTGCATGGAGAAGTCTCCAACACAGAGTGCATGCCCCTTGCTACAATCTACCACAGGAGTTAGTGGCGTAAAGGATGCTGTGTCCTTTGGTGCTACAATAATATAAAGATTTACTACTAGTAGTGTGTTTGGAGTGGCAACTGGTATCTGCATTTATTGAGCCTGTTTCTCCCCCGCACTGGTGCAAAGTGGGTATAAAATGCTGTCAGAGCAGAATGGTAGCATTTTACCCCACTTTGGAAAGGGGTAAATAACAACACAAGGTGCAAGACTAGAGAATCAGGCCTCCTGTTTTTATTCATGGGGATATATGAATAAATTGTCTGCAAAGTAAAATCCTTCAGGAAGAGAATATCAATGTAATTGGCTTCTGAGTTTGATTTGTGTACTGGATGCCCTGTGAATTTTGATGGTACTCAAATCAATTGATGATTCGAAAGGGGTGTTACTAATTATATAACAGTGGAGTAATGGACAACAAAGACTGGGCATGTTGCTCCCAAGGGCAGACATGCTGAATAGCATTCTGGTTATGGTAGAAAGCTTTGTCAAATAAGGAAGATTGTGCAGTATTTCCTGGAGGTAGTTACACTCTGCATTTGTCTAACCTTCTTGGAAATTCATTCTGAAGCTAGATCCTCTCAGCTGGGAATACTTTGTCCCCAGTTCCTCTGACACTTGGCGATCCAACCAGCTCCACACATTCTTAGAGGTTAGGGTGACTAGACAGCAAGTGTGAAAAATCAGGACAGGGGTGGGGGGTAATAGGCGCCTATATAAGAAAAAGTGCCAAAAAACAGGACTGTCCCTATAAAAACGGGACATCTGGTCACCCTATTAGAGATGCCTCAAGCTGAGGTTTGGAGCACACTAATGGGAGCAGTGTGGTTAATCCACCATTGAAACTGAGGACTTTAAGTCTCAAAGGCTGACAAGGCTGCTTCTTTCCTAGCATCAGATTAACTAAGTAAAACCAAACCAAGTACATTTAGTGAAATTTGCTTTCTGAAGAGGTCAGCAATTCATATCCCCTTGGTGTACCCTACCAAAGCCTTTCTGTCACTCACCCGTCTAATTTTAGTTGCTTGGATTTCGTGGCTGCATTAGTGATGCTTCCTGGCTCTGACTGCTTAGCCTGCCTTGGGTCTCAGATTTACACTGGAAAGAGACCAGCAAAAATAATTTGCAACTTGCTTCAGAGCCAATAAACACAGTTGGCATTGTTTTGCTGTGCCACTCTGGTTGTAAAACACAGATGGGCTTCCCTTTATTCCTTGGATTCTTTTTTTATTATGATTATTTCAGAAATGTCCAAGAATGTCAGCTAACTCCTCTCAAACTGATACTTCAATGACATCTGGTGGTCAGGTCAATAAATTGTTTTCAGATGCTATGAACAATCATAGTGGGGAATTGTCTTTTAAAGGGTAGGGTGCGTTTCCATTGCAAAAACCTTTTATTGCTTGTAGGTGCTTTGTTGATTGACGTTTTCGTTAAACCCAACATAAAAAATGTGTTAGATTTTACTTTGAGCGGCAGCGTCATAAAGCAAATGAGTCAGCACTTGGCTTCCCTCCACCACCATGGACATCTGGGGAAACAGATGTCACCCCATAAAACTGCCAAAGTAATTCATCTCTGTCACCAAGAGGAGTAAGCGGGTTATTTGGGATAGTTGCTGAGTGGTTACCCATTAGAATAACTGACTCGTTCTGCTGTACTGGGGCAGTGAAGGCTTTCGGGCTATAGTGGACAAAAATTCTGAGTAGTCTTACTGAAGGATCCCCAAACTGGCTCTGATGTTGATATATTCTGGAGTAGAATCCAGATCAGCATTCTGATTGTTACTGGAGTGCAGACCTTTTCCCAATTTCCTCTAATATAAAATACAATACATGTACAACTTTCCTGTTAATAATCTGACCTATAATAAAAAAAACAGTCTAACCTGGGCGTGTGAGCCCCAGACTCTGAGTTGTAAGCCTGGCCAGTGAACTGTTGCAGATACCAGCTCAAGTAAGTGAATCAAATGCTGATGAATATACATATTACATACATAAAAGTAATCAGGTTTAAGGCAAAAGCCCAAACTGGGCTAGGCATTAAAGAATAAAAACATTTCATATTTACTGTAAGTGGAGGAATAATGGATACAGCTGGGAGAGAGAAATGAAATACATTGGGAAACATGTAGTAAGTGCGGAGTCACTTTCCAAAAGCAAAGTTATGCATGAGTGAGATGCATCTGTTGACACAGTAAATGAAAATGAGGAATGCTACACTGGGGTTCTGCGTTCAGATAACTGTGGACACTTAACTGGAGACACTGATAAAATATAATTAAGAAAGGTTCAGAATAGACACAGGAAAACAGACTAATGCAATTTCCAGAGGAAAATGTAATAGAAATAAAAAAGAATACACAAGCCACCTGGAGAAAAATGATGACTGTTACTGTCTTCACCAACTGTCCTTGTTCTCAAGGGGCAGTTCCTGTTAGCAGCTTTAAACTCCTGCTGCAAAGTGTGGAGTATGAGACCAATGCAAAGGTTAATTTGTAAGGCCAGCCGTTTTCAGAAGTTGCGAGAGAACAGTGTGCTGCCCTCAGCCAAAGAGTGGAGTTTCAGGGAAGTTGTCCTTATATGTTAATTTGTGTTTCACTGGTTGAGTTCACTTAATATCTTACTGCCAGAGTTGTGAGGGTACTTTCTGGAATAAACCATCATTGGTGCAAGTGAGAGCAGAACCTAGCTGAAGGAGCAAGGCATTAAAACCTGTAGAGGTCTCTTATTACTTGTTCTGCTTCATCCCTCCACTTTCCTGCCCAGTTTTGAGAGGTCAAGAGGTCCTTTGAAATGTTGTGTTTGACTAATTGACCACATAACTTTGTGTTCAACTTCCTCAATTGTTTAGATATGGGCAGGAGGGGAGATTGACTCTTGTTAACTGGAACATGATGTCTGGAACAGGGAGGCTTCCCACACTGCTACCCTTAGAGAGACAAGTAGTTTGGAAGTGTCAGGCTGGTCTAGCAGCTCTTGAATAATAAGGCTTTTGAAACAGAGCATTACAAGGAAAGGCCGGTATAGTACACACGTGTTTCTTTCATATCACCACAGGGTTGTTTTTCTGTTTTGGTTTGGGTTTTGGGGTGAAAAGTGTGTTTATTTTTTAAGCTGCAAAAAGCAGCCAAACAATGCTAGGGGGTGTCTTTTTTTCTAACTCCATGATATTTGGTGTTTTTCTTAAGGTCCCAGTTCTTGGAGTCACATGACTATGTGAGAAACTCAGCTTTCATTGTAAAAAACAAAGTTTCTAGCCCTCATAATTGTGAAGAAAAAGTGAACCACAAAGTTTCAAAAAACTGGAAGGCAAATAAACCCCAGCAATTATTAATGTTAAAAAAATCGGCCTGCTCTGCCACAGACTTCTAGTGTGACCTTGGGCATGTCTCTTAGTTTCTCTGTGCTTCAGTTCCCCATCAATAAAATGGGGA